CGCCCTGCCCTGCCCCGCTACGCCGACCCGCAGCCCCCCGCGAGGCGGGCCGCGCTCACTTGTCACTCCAACGACCAGGGCGGTAGGTCAGCGAGGGCGGCCTAAGGGTGGGAAAAGGGGGGCGGGGGCTGGATTATGGAACAGAGACGGTGGCGGCAGGACGCGGCTGACGGCAGAATATATTCATATTGCAAAAGGAGCGCAAATAAGCCGAGGAAGGGGCCGCCTGTCCGAGCGCGAGGGGGAAACGGGTGATAACGAGTGATAAGGGGCCGCCCACGGGCCTACATGCTCACTTACCAACCTCCTGCCTCTCGTTCCAGTGAGCACTCCGGCGGATGTAGGGGCGGTCCGACCGTTCCTGTGGACAGCGGCCCAAGCGGGGTGAGTATATCGGCGAGTGTCGGTCCGGCGCGGACGGTCCGATCCGAAGGGAGTACTTCACTCACACAAAAATCAGTTCAAGACTTCTGAAAAAATCAGAAGAAAAAATTTAAAAAATCAGATAAAAAAAATCAGAAGGAAATGAGAAAAATTTAAAAAAAAAAGTTAAGGAAAAAATTTCGATTAAAAAAATCTGAAAAGTTGAAGTACCCCTCGGGACGGCCTTGCACGCGCTCGGCGACTCCTCTGACGACCTGCTCCTCTTCCTGCAGCGTATCTCGGCGCGGTGCGGGCGCCCGGGACGCACTGGGGGCCGCCGGGGTCGGGGTGGGGCGTCCCGCCCGCGGGGCCCGGGCCCGGGGGCCGCGGCTTCCGCACCCCGCTGCGTGCGCCTCTGCGGATCCCCCTGCCCCGCGCCACCCGCGCCAGCTGGTCCACGTGCCGGCTGTGGATCCTCATCACCGTCATCAGCGTCTACCTCCTGGGCGTGCTGCTGCTCTCCTCCGTCAGCTTCCAGACGGGGCCTAATGGAGAAAGGGTGAGACCAGAAAAGCGAATACGGCTGCAGTAATTCAACTGACAACATTGTGATGTATGCTTACCTCCCGGGCCGTCCTGTCCGCAGACTCTGCACGTGCCGGAGCTGTCCGGGTTCCCGTACGCGCTGGCGGGCGGGCGGCGGATGCCGTTCCCCCGCGGCCCGCTGAGCAGCGTCCTGGGGGGCGGCGGCGGCGGCGGGCCCGTCGGCCGGTCCCGGGGGCTGCAGTGGTGCCAGCCGCTCCGCTTCCTGGACAACGACCGGCCGCGCGCCGTCACCGCCCTCGCCTCCTTCCCCGGCAGTGGCAACACCTGGCTGCGCTACCTGCTGCAGCAGGCCACGGGCGTCCACACGGGCTCCGTGTACAAGGACTTCGGCCTGCTCAAGAACGGCTTCCCCGCCGAGTCGGTGAGCAACGGCACGGTGCTGGCCGTCAAGACGCACGAGTGGGGGCCGGTGGCGCGCGCTCCGTTCCACCGCGCCGTGCTGCTTGTGCGCTCCCCGGGCCCCGCCATCCAGGCCGAGTTCAACCGCCAGAGCGGCGGGCACATCGGCTTCGCCGCGCCCGACCGCTACCGCCTCAAGAAGGGCCGCTGTGAGTACCTCGACTCGGCTCCGAAGTCCTTTCCGCGCACCGCCCTCGGTCTGATCGATGTCTCTGTACTTCTGTGTTCCAGTCTGGGCCAACTTCGTGACGGCCAAACTGGCGGCCTGGCGACAGACCAACATTGACTGGCTCACCAACTTCACCGGGCCCACGCACATCGTCCTGTACGACGACCTGGTGCGCGACGTGGAGGGCACGCTCAGGGCCATCCTCGACTTCCTCGAGCACCCCGTCACCGACGACGCCATGGCGTGCGCCATCGAGCGCCGGGAGGGCATCTACCGGCGCAAGCGGCGCGCGCTGGCCGCCAACTTCGACCCCTACACCCCGTCCATGAAGTCCATGCTGCGGGACCAGCAGGACGAGGTGTTCGCCCACGTCAAAAAGTACCAGCAGCTGGCCGTGAGCTGAGACGGCGAGCTCGCGGACCTCGCGTCGAGGGAAGGACACGACGAGCAAGCATGAAGCTTAGCCGGGCAGTAACTCGTTTACGGTTTTACGACCGAAACTTAATGGTGATAGTGGCCTTGAAAGCAGCCTAGTATTGACGAAGGGCCTCTTGCAGTGGCCTAAATGTGTACTTTCTTTAGGCCTACAGAAACGTGATAAAAACAGACGTCAACTCAGGGAGATATTTATCTCACATGTATATAGGGACTTGTACCTTCAAAATCACATTCTGATCAAAACCAGGCTGGGTTAGAATGAATGGAAGACAACCAGTCTTTAACAAGTCTTGGCATCAGCCAAAATCAGTATTGGTAGCTTATCTGTGATGTTCGTCAGCCCAAATAATATGGTTCAATCTGTAATTGTAAGACTATGTGAAATTTGTTTAAATTGATACAGGCTGACTCTTTGATTTTTCCTTACGAAGAGTATGGCTTATTATGAGGCGCAAAAGGTAGATCATATCAGTCAAATATATTAAGAGACTTGGGCTTGTTGCCCCTGTTGACCATCTGTAATTAAGGATCAGCGCAAGTATGAACAGGCAGTCATGATAACCCAAGTTGAAGTTAAATGACTTACGAAGAGATCTTCAGAGAGCTTCATAAATCCTAGTCCAAAGCACCCTCACTGACTAAGTGCATAGGTCCATAGGTAGCTCATAGGTATATTAGAATATCCAAGGATGACTATGAAATAAAAGCAAAAGCTGGTAATGTTATTATACTGGAAATAAGATAAGTTAGTTAACACTGGTGTTAACTTGATGTAACTTACTTCAATCTTCATGGCTCTATGCAATGACCAGTGATATTTAAGAGCACATAAAACAAGTCCATCTAAAGCAGCAAAATATTTTATGTACATGGTTTTGCACCCCGCTTTCTTCATTTTCTTTTTCGCATCAAGTACATTTTCTAATTCCTTTTGGTATTACTACAGTTTTTATAATTTTTATCTTGCATTCCTTGCTTGTCAGTAAGAATGTATGGCAAGTTCTGGAAGAGAGAAAGAGATCTGATGAGAAAACATGAAGTAGATCATTTGAGTATCTGCATTGGGCCAGTGACATTTACATGTACATATGAATGACAGCTTTAGGAGCGCACAAAAAATGTGGAGTTTACATCAAGGTACTAGTATAAGTCTACTACTCTGCAATGTAAAAAATGTTAAAAAGAGAAAATAAAAGTTTCAAAAAAAAAATATAACGGTTTAGTTGGAAGGGAGGTGTAAAATACGAACAATACAGGACAATATATTGCAAACTTCTACGCTGAAATACCAAAACTTTCACCACATACAGCCATGCATGCACCATGCATGAACAACTCGTTCGTAACAGGAAACACAGGAAATAGAAAACCTATTCGGGTAGGTTATGTCTGCTGTTTCCGGCTCAGTCACTTTATATTTCTCATACACATTATCCACAACTTCGTAACGTAGTCTCGCAGAAGGGTTGTATCAACAAACGAATCAAACATGTTCTACAGTCAATCGCTTAAAAGAGAGCGGAGCGGGCGTCTTGAATGGCTTGAAAGCAACGTTTTTATTGTACACATATGTCGGGATGTCAAAGATGTCAACATGCTATTTAGTCTGTGCAAGAAGTCGACACATTCCAATTGAACTTCCTCATCTCCAGGACGTTGTCCTTGGAAGATGTCCTGAAACGCAAATTGTGGATAAGCGGTGTTCAAAAACTCAGTGTGAGTACAATATAACCTCTGAATTTAGTAATATTGAATAAAACTGAAGAGTCTTACTACATACCACACTATTACTTTATACCCACATTTACCTGAAGTTCTCTATTTTCCTTTATGTCCAAGTGACATTTAGAGCAGATCTCATCAACCGGTCAGCCACAGTAAAACAGACTGGACCCAACTTGTCAGCTGTCAACGGCTCACCACTTGGGAGAAACTGTGAAAAAATTGTTCATGATGGTGCTGTTGTGCAATTTTTACTTGGTCAATATGAACACTGGGTCAGGTTTACCCCTGAGCCCAAGTCTTCAGCAGCATCTACTAAGCGAAGTTCAAATTCTGGAGAATCCATGGATTCAAAGAAACATTGTGGAAGTAGTTCTAGAATAAATGATCTTTCTGATTCTTCTGTTCTTGTCAAAAAGGCAGAGAAAAGCATGTGGCACTCAGTAGATGGTGGACGGCTTCTTGTGTATGAATGCCAAGGCACTTGTCCCTCTGAAAAGGTAAAATCTTCCTCAGTCCCTGTGTAGTTTGTCAAAGTTCTATTTTTAAACCTGAAATACTTAACAGGTAGCAGCATATGATATGGATGGAACTTTAATTATTACAAAGTCTGGAAAAGTGTTTCCTCAGTACCCAGACGACTGGAAAATTCTTTGGCCAGAAATACCTACAAAGCTTCAGAAATTGCAAAAAGATGGTTACAAAGTAAATACATCATCTTGGTATAAAAGGAATTTTTCAAATTTTCAGAAATGAAACTAATAGTTTTTGTTGTAGATAGTTATATTCACAAACCAGGCTGGTATATCCCGAGGGAAGACAAGTGCTAAAGAAATTCAGCAAAAAATTGAAAAAATTGTTGCAACTTTGAATATACCTATGCAAGCTTTTGTTGCCACTGGTGATACTATATTCCGTAAACCTGCTCCTGGCATGTGGGACTTTCTCCTAAAACAGGTTTGTTCATAAAAATCTTGATTTAATATTTCAATTTCTATCAATTTTTTTACTGATTCAATCAAAATTAACTTTTAGTGGAATGGACGGCAAGAAGTAGACATTACAAATTCTTTCTACTGTGGGGATGCTGCAGGGCGTCCAGAGAATTGGGCTCCTAAGAAGAAAAAAGATTTCAGCTCTTCAGACCGTTTATTCGCCAAAAATCTTGGACTAAAATTTTATACACCTGAGGAACATTTTCTCGGCCAAAAGGCAGTACAAGTTAATTTTCCTGAATTTGATCCTTCTGAGATGCCAGAGGCAGATGCACCACTGGTTGACCCTCCCCATTCTTCTGTTACATCTTCAAACCAAGAGGTGAAAGGGAGTTGAACTTGTGTCTTCATTAATATGTTAATTTTGGTGTATTAAGTTTGATTCTTAAAAATATTTCAGCTCCTCTTACTGGTTGGCTTTCCTGGTTCTGGGAAAAGCTTTTTGTGTCGTGAGTATCTCCTACCTGCTGGATATTCTCATGTGAATCGAGACACCTTAGGGTCTTGGCAGAAATGTGTTTCAGCAACAAAAGCTGCCCTTGAAGCAGGAAAAAGTGTTGTTGTTGATAATACAAACCCTGATCCAGAATCTCGGGTAAGATTTGTTGAGGTGGCCTCAAAATTGAAAATTCCATGCAGATGTGCTATAGTTGGAGATTCAATTACCAGAGCTAGACACAATAACAAGGTAATGCTATGTTCTTAAGTAGAGTAGTTTAGTGCTCTAAGATAATATCAATTTTATCTGTCCAAATTATTTCTATTTCCAGTTTCGTGAGCTAATTGGTGAAATTCATGACCCTATATCTGAAATGATAATGAATTCACACAAGTGAGTCTTTTACTGATCCATTAATTATTTTTTTAAATCTTTTTCCAGAGGCTTCTTCATTAATTGACCCTTTATTCCAGGTCTAAGTACAAGGAACCACAACTCAGTGAAGGGTATGAAGAAATAATTCGGATAAATTTCAAACCTAAATTTAGAACAAAAGAACATGAGCATTTGTATAAAATGTATTTATTGGATAAGTACTAACAAGTGAATATCTGTACCAGCATGCCCCCCAATGAAAATTATTATTTACATCCTTGCTGTAAAACAGTAAAATTCAAGTTTTGTTGAAATCATACTAAGGTCAGAGATTTGACTAAATTAAAGTTTCGCTCTGCATTTTCAAGGGGGCCATAGTCTAAAAAGCAATGTTTGGACTAGGCCTCAATGATTCCTTTAAAATATTGTTGTATGACTGTACAGTTTTACATGCTTCTGCTTTAACTGGTCCACAGTCTGTTTCACTTTTCTTGGAGGCAACAAACTCTCTTATTGCAAAATTGTTCTGCTCCAACAGTGTCAATTTTCTCTCCAAGTTGCTGAGTTGAGCATATGTTTCATTTTCTGAAAGCTGCTTCTACAAAGAGAAAAGTAATTTTTTAGAATATTCAATAAGATGGTGCTTAAGAAAAATTTGTGGTCCAGTAAAATTATCTATGTATGTACCTTCAACTCAGCATGACGTTCTTGTATTCTTTTTCGCTCCGCTTTAGCAATGTCATAAGTTTGTTGCAGTTTCACCTTCTTTTTTAGTAGTTCTTCTCTTTTTGCCTCGCATGCAGTTCTGAGAGAACCTAGGTCTCTTAGTTTGGGAAGTTCTCCTTCCATGGTTTTCATTTTTTCACTCAGGGATACCATTTCTTGTCTTGCCTTTGTTTCTAGTTCAGCTACCTATAAATATAATATGTGAAATTTAAATAGAAACTTTGAAGTTTTGATTTGTTAAGTTTGAACATTTTTCCAAGAAATTAATTTAAACTTTTACCTTGTCTAAACTCATTTGTAGTTGTGCTTGCTGTGATGCAAGAGATTCAATTGTCTGTTTGGATCGGTCAAGCTCTGTTTCATTCAATGACAATGATTCCTGGATGGCACCTAATGTATCTTTGTCTGGTAACCCATGAGCCACTCTGGTTACAGCTTTTGCCAGACCTTGAAGTTTCTGGACAACCTCCTTTCCTAGCTGCTCAATTCTTTCTGTTTCCTGAGATCGATTTTCCTCAAATGTTGCCAAGAAACTCTCAATTGTCTCTTCTCTCCGCCTCAGTTCCCTATACTTCTGATGACGCTCACTCTGACTCTCCTCAAGGTCCTAAAAAGGTTTTTTGTTTTCAAAATGTGAGTAATTTTAAATCTTAACATGTTTGCATTGGGAAAGATATTGGTAATTATAATTACCTGATCCAACAAGTCTATTTCTTCTTGCCTCCTTCTTGCTGTCTCTCTCAGTTCTGTAAGCTGTCGCTCCATACTTGCTGTTTCGGCATTGTCCTCCTTGACATGCTGCAATAAGGTCTCTCTCTCCTGGGCTGGAGATGCACGTGTTTGTTCCTCAGCTACAAGCTGGTTTCGCCTACTTTCAGCCTCTGCTAAACGAGCATGTAAGTGCACAGCTTCCTGTTTTACACGAGACATTGAAAGTTGATCTTCAAGGGTGGCTTTCTTTGATGTTAAGCCATCAAGTTTAGTTTGCAACTGATCCATGGCCATTTGAAGTTGTTGATTTTGTTCACCTAATTGGGAATATTTTTGGCGCAAAGGTGGATCCATTGCTTCAATTAGTCCATCAGCCATCTGCCTTTCCTATTACAAAATTTGTTCAATGTGTTAATGGGCGCTTTCTAAAAATTTAGTATAGTATTTTGCACGTTAGATAATAATGTTATTTTTTGTGTACACATTACCTGTTGTATTTCTTTTTCGAGTTGAGTTATTTGGGCCTCCCTCTGGCGTCTTTCTTCAAAGATCTGTTCCAGAGCAGCTTTACGTCTTTCATTCACACCTCTCAATTCTTTGGTTTCAAGTTCGACATCTTCCTTTGAAGTGTCGGTGCTTAATTTATCAACAACTAAGTTCAGGTCTGCTAATTTACCTTGTAATTCTAGAATTTTACATACCACAGTCAACATCATTAAATGGTCATAAAAATATATCAAATTGGTTTAGATGACGTTTCAAGCCATTTACCTGTTAACTCCTGAGCCATTTCCTTTGCTCGACGATCATAAGTCAAATATGTTGATTGCTCTTTTCCTAAAGCTTCAAGCTCATTGTTCAATTTCTGAATTTCAGCACCTATTTCTCTTGACTTCATCTGAATTAGGCCTTGAAAATAACGCTTGTCTTGTATTTGGCGAGGCATTGGTCCTCGTGGTGCAGCTGATCGAAGACCAGACAGACCTTGTTGTGTGACTGGTCTGTCTAGCACATTCATAGCCTGGTAACACATCAATAAAGCGTAACTGCTCTTTCTTTATGTATTGTCATACTGATCCATTTATTTTACTTACTGTGGATGGAGGTCGCCCCATTGAGGAACCAGCTCTAGTAGGTGGTGGTTGGTACTGCATAGCTGATGTCAATCGACTTGCTGTGCCGGGAGGTATAGCACTGAGCATTCCCACTGCTGATGGCGGTCTTGCTGATGGAGGCCTATTCATTCGTCCAGCAGAAGTTGGAGGTCGTGATTGTTGAGTGTACAGTCGTGATGTGCCAGCCTGTTCAGAGATACTTCTATATTTTGACTACCTGGCATTTCTCAACATGGACCCAGGGTTAAATTGACAATGATATTACACAATTTCTCAACGTCTAAATGAGATTCTTGAAAATTGAGGTGTGTATTTTATTAAGCACTATTGTATCTTTGGTAGAATAACAATTTACCTGAGATACCCCGCCATCCTCCCTTCGCACTCGTGTCATCGGACGTTCTGAAATACCATTCTCCATTTTCACTCTAACGATGAAAATCACAAAACCATTAACAAGGTGTCTCCAATGTGGATCGAAAGACGAAGTCTCGCCTTGTGTTTATGTTTTGAAGCTGTCCGTTGCCATAGCGACCGTAGCAGAAGACAGAAAGTGATGGTGGGGGGGGGGAGAACCTGGACGATCTGGACGCAGTTCCAAACCCAACCGATAGGTGGCGCGCGAGCCTCTTCGCTCTCACGGCTCCCCTCTCCCCGAACCGGCGGCGTTGCTAAGCGCGTTGCTAGGGAGCGAGCGCGCTCGCTCGGCAAGCCAAACAAAAGCAAAGGCAAAGCAGCCGAACGGCCGCCCCGCGTCGAGCCCGAGCCGAACCGCCGCCGAACGCAAGCACAACAGTAACAGTTGCGTGCCCGCCAGCCGCGAGTCGAGTGCCGTGCCGTGGTGTTCCGTTCCCTGTTGAGCGGAGCCGTGAGTGACCGCCGCGCGCGCCGCACCGAGAGAGGCGAAAAGGACCCGGCTTTTGCACATTGCTCTCGGTGTCCTGTGACTCGAGTTTGTGTGTGTGTTTGTGCGTGTTCCACGGGAGCCTGGATTTGGATTACCTCCCGCCGCCTCAGCACAGCGCGGGCTCAGCCGGCTCAGCCCCCCGAACAGGCCATGAAGCCTCAGCCGCTCCAGGCAGCGGCGGCAGGTTAGGCTCCGGCCCCGCGACTCAGCAGCAGCGAGCAAGTCCATTGAGCCGCAGCGTATGCGCTGATAGTGCAGTGCGAGTGATTGTGTGCGAGCGAGTGAGAGCGAGAGTGAGTGCCCGTCGGCCCAGCGGAAAGAGAGAGAGAGGGAGAGAGAAGACGGCTGAGATGGACGAGGATGACAGCGGCCCAATGGGCACCAAGTCGCCCATCAAGCGTCTCGGCTCGACCCGCAAGCAGATGTTCTTCAACAGTAAGTGCCGTCACGATTAACTACAGCGAAATAAAAGAAATAAATCGGAATTGTGTTTTGTTTGAAAGCATTTCAGCATTTGTGCCCCCTGTTTGAGGACGACGGTTAGGTCCGACGAGCAACGCTTACGCCCCTCTGTTCGGGCGTGATGCACTTCCACCAGCCTGTCAAGGGACCTGCAGGCCACTAGCCGCACGCTACTCAAAGTTCTTCCACGTACATACATGTGTGTGTGTGGAAACTTTGCGGCGATACAGTCCATTCTCCCTACTCGTTACGTTCGATTATTCTCGCTCGGTGGCGAGGATCAGGTCAGGTCCAGCAGCAGCCGGCTCGGTTGCGTCAGCGGCTGGACAAGTACTGCCAGGTGGTGGTGGCTTATGGTAATGGAACTCGACGAGGTGCGTCTTGAGGGGTCGTCGCCGCGGCTGTCTCCTGGAGAAGATAAAACTTGTCAGGCCTTCCCGCGGAGACCATTGCCTGCGGACGACAGCCCAGAGAGGGGGGCGCCCCCCCCCCCCTCCTCCCCGGGGGCCTCAAGACCCCAGGACGCGCTGCTGAGGTGTTATTAGGCATCCGTGTAATGATTAGTTCCAGGCCAAGCAGCAGCAAGCAGTCTCCCCCTCCCCTCCCCCCACCTTTCCACTTCAAACCGTCTCCAGCAAAGCGTCGGAGAACGGAATAAGTGCAGAGCGGCCTTTTTGCGCGACTCGTTATACGGTTTTGAGGGGAAAGAACCATTTGCCTGGAAGGCCTGATGCGGGCTGGGCTGCTGCAGCAGCAGGTCCACGATGACCGCGCCCGCGCCGCCCAAAGCCGACCGTCCGACGAACTGTCCGCCGCCGCCCCGGGGCGACTCTCGAGACGACGAAGATGCGTTTGTTTGGTGGGATTAAGACAAGAATGAAGAAGAGACGCCGTTAATGAGCCTCCTCTCGGTTCGGCTCCTCTTCTTTCACCGTTGTCACGTGAATTGGAAACTTTTATTTTCGGAGAGGGGTGTGTGTGTGTGCCCGCGCGCACCTGGTGCGCCTCGTCTCCCTCGCCTTTGTTTGTGGCGAATGTGTATGAGTGCTTATCTAATCGCGTAGTAGTAAGTACTACGCGGTGCAGTTCGGCACTGTATCGCCGCCGGCTGTCTGTCGCATTGGGGGGGGG